TTTTAATTCCCTCAGTAAAATTGATTCCACCAGTTCTACACATTATTCTCCCTGTCTTCCATTTAGCCTGTTAGTTTGCTGACAGTAGAGTACACAGCACTTAGCAGCTGGTTTGTGGAACCATCAGTCAGGAAATTGTATGATAAATAGGAGGTAGCCAGGTCTAGTGGCACTTCCTTCTGCTTCAGCAGTTTTTGCCTGACTTTGGGAAAGTCATCATGTGGTGTTTTGTCAAGAGCCAGAACAGGAGGTGGCCGTGGCGCGGGAACTTATTACACATACATTTGAGTTATGATTTGCCAAGGCTGCGCTGCTCACTTGTAAATAATAAACTGCGAGGTGGGTGATGATGGTGACTGCTGGCGATCTGGCCTGTTCTTGTCACCAGGGTTCTCCTGGCAGCTCCCTGGGCCCATGACAGACATGTTGCTGACCTTCCACCCAGAAACCACAAGTCAGATGCAAGGGAAGTGCTCAATATTTGAGGATGAGGGATTTTTTTTTTTCTTTCTGTTTTTAGAAGTGTGTTATGGCTAATGTCATGTATGTCCAGGCACATACTGTACTGCTTGATTGTTTTTTTTTTTTTTAATTGAAGTGCTGTTGCATTATAACATGAGTTTCAGGTGTGCCTCTTTATAAATCAGCATCTGTATGTACGCCATTAAGTTCACACTAATTTTCTTCTTCATTTACACTGTTAAGTTGTGGTCAAGCATGTCTTGAATTGGAAGAGGGGTGTTCCATTGCATTTTCCCAGAAAGTGGCTGAAGAGGTATGATTTCCACTGATAACTGACACAACGTGCAATTGTTTGCACAGACCTCATCAGTCCAAGAGAAGGTAAATCAAGAGGGAAACAAATAGAAACAGTGAAAGACTTAAACTAAAAACAGATGTCTTCAGTCAAGTCAGACCATATCCATTAATTTTTTGTTCTTTTAATTCCAGAATGCAGAATTCATATATTTCCTTGGGCCGTAAATAAACACTTAGTGCAAAGAATGTTACAGGACGAATGCATACTTTCAGTCAGAATTAACTTTTACTCACAAAGCAGTACATACTCAACAGTCAAAAATGACTAGTAAACACGAAAACAGTTGTGGTTTATATTTTTCTCTCAAATATTTTTGCAATGTTTTGAAAGTTTTTTTTTTTCCATTCTGAAAGGAGAGAGAGAAGTGAATTAATATCCTATTAGAATAATTTCTTGAAAATGAAAAGATGGCAGTGCTTTAAAATACCTGTGATTGCCTTGTACTTTTGTCTTGGGAAAGAGAATTTGGCAGACTTTTTTGATTTTTTAAAATTAACTGGTTGGTCCTCACCCTGGTGTATATAATCACTGCACCTTCGTTATCAATACTCATTAAAGATATAAACTGTTACATACTGGATATGTAAGGCATATATAGAATGTATAATAAAGCCATACATTTCATCCCTGCCTATATGAAAAACATGGTTTTATGCCTTGTTATAATTCATATTTATATACACATAGAGAAAATCAGATTACTTAGCACCCACTTGTCTGGTTTGCAGAGAATCTGATCACACAGAACAGCCAAGAGCTAAGAAGTAAGGAAGTCAACATACTTTCCAGCTTGACATAGGTGTCACATATTCCTCAAAGCAGCCATAAAAAATGGCCTGTGGGTGAAGCTGTTAGGAGGGGTCAGATTTGATGAATGTTTAATTTACACATAGTTCTAAATAGATTTGTTTCTCTGATTCCCAGAGTAGATGACATATGTTAAGTTTGATGTCTGCAGAAGGGAAGCATGTTCTTAGCAGCAGCCCCTAGGGAAGGAGAGAGGAGGAAGGAGCAGGAGTGCCCCCTCCATGTCCAGGGCTGTCCATGTGACCTGGACCCACACGGGATTCATTTGGGCATACTTCATATTTTAAAATCAGGAAACATGCACTGGGTATATGTCAAACTTTCAAACTGGTGAAGCAGATTACACAATTTTATATTGCATTAAGAAGGATGAATAATTTTCATTGAAAATGGCTGAAAGACATAGGACATTTTGGCTCTGCAGGATTACGGAGTTATGTGGTACACTGAATTTGAAGACAGTGCTGGGTAATTTTCAGACTTTGTATGGCAACTATCAAGACCTGTGTCCAAAAGAACTGACTCAGACATCTTAATATTAACTCCTAAATAGTGCAGTTAAAATAGAGTCATACAGTTCATCCCTGCGTATGTGAAGAACATGGATTTATGCCTTGTTATAATATATATTTGTGCACACATGGAGAAAATCAGATTAGTTATAAAATATACGAAATGTGTTAAAGTGATAGGGTAGTATATCCTTCATCTGTTGAATTTCTAGCATTTTTTGTGCATCCTGACATCACAGCAACAAAGATATGACAATACCAAGAGGATTCCTTTCTTCCTACATCCCTACTCCTTTCCCCTTTATCTTACAAGGCCAAGCACAGTGAGTAATTGACATTTTCAATATGCTAGTCCTCCTTCAATCAAAGAAGTTTTCTGGGTTCTAAGTTTGGTAGAATCGAAGCTTTGATTCTATCGATGCTATGTTAATAGATTTTTACACTTTTTTTTTTTTTTCAAGATTGATTTATTTATTTATACAAGCACTGGGTACAGTCAGAAGCACGGGAGGGTGAGAGAAATCACCAGAGGCAGAGTGGAGAGTAGAGCAGAGCAGGCAGACTGACAGAGTACACTGCTGAGGGGAGCAGCAGGCGGCAGGAGAGGTCTGTGCGCCATGTGGGACCCTCACCCCTCGGCCAGGGATCAAACTGGCGCTGCAGAGGCTGCGGGCAGCTTCCCAACCCAGCACTCAACCGCTGCGCCACCGGGGAGGCCCTCTTATTTATTTATTTATTTATTTTTCATTACCATACTCTTTGATTCTCAAAGGAAAGCAGGGAGGGCAAAATTTAAAGCAAAGGAAGTAAGGTATTGTAATGTTTCCTTAAAAAAGTTTTATGTTTGCATTCTCAGCCATTCTTATTGAGGAAAATTTGGAAAAAAAATGAGAAATGTTAAGGGAGGTCAGTGAAAACCACCTGAATTCACCACACACATGCATAGCAGTCATCTACATCTACGGGGACTTAGGAAATTTACAAGGAAGGGGTGCCACTCACACCCAAGTCTGTTTCTGGCATAGCCGTCACCCTACTTTCTCCACATAGAGCTTCTGGGTCACTTCTCCCAGCAGTTAATTTTGTTAAAGATTTATTTTTATTTATTTATGCACACAAGAACTGGGGGGTGAGAGGATTCACCAGAGACAGAGTGGGGAGCAGAGCAGGCAGATCTACTGAAATACACTGCTGAGGGGAGCAGCGAGTGAGACAGGAGAGGTCTGGTGTGCCATGTGGGTTAGCTCCCTGGCCAGGATTGAACTCATGCCGGTAGCTTGATAGTGACTTGACCCCTTGTGCCACCAAAAAGGCCCCCTCCCAGCAGTTATGTAGAGCCTGTTTATAGCGCCTCCTCATTTGGAATTGCCTGTATTATCTTGCAGTCCTTATGTCTACCCAAAATTTTCTGAATTTTAAAATATGTAGAAGTCCTTCTAAGGTTAGCCTGATGTATAGATCATTTCTGTTTTGGGAATAGTTGTTTGATGGCTGCGTGCAGCAGCCAGGATGGCCACAGGTGGAAGGGAGCATTTGAAGACTGAGTCGCCATGTCTGCTGTAACTTCAGGCTCATATCCAAGGAGCACACACACCTCTACATTTTGTGTTTTAGACTTATTTATTTTGCTTTGAAACTTGAAAAACACTTAGTGTCCCTTGCAAAATAGCCATTCATCTAATGATAAAATACAGCAAAACTCTTTTCAGTATCACTATTTAGGAAAAAAAAAAAGTTTATTTTCAGGATTGACAGCGACCATCTCTGTAAGTCACCACAAGTATGTGGAGGAAGAGAAGCTATTTTAAGGAAGTGCACACACACAGGAGCCAAGGTTGAACATTAAACTGAGTAAGAACACAAAGGGCAGCGGGTTCGCATCCAAGGTGAATATCAGGGTTTCAGGACAGTCCCCTCTCAGTTTGCTCCAAACTTCCCTCCGATGGAGTTCAGCCTAGCCCTTCCAGCCAGGTCATGTAACATCTCTCTGATCAACCTGTAGATTTGCTGCCCTGTGTTGGGGCTGCAGAGGTCTAACCCAGAGAAAGGAGGGAAGCATGTACTTAAAGAACTGTGGGTGGAAATGCTATGAATACTAAGAAGGACTTTGGAAAGGACTACTTCCCTTACAAAGCACCTTGTGCCCCTGGTGGCACAAAGGGTTAAGATGCAACCTGTGAAGCTATCCACAGGCACTGCAGCCACTGCAGCACAAGTTTGATCCCCGGCAGGCAAGGGAGCTACCCACGTGGTACAGCAGACATTTCCTGCCTTACCTGCTGCTCCCCTCAGCAGTGTATTTCAGTCAGTCTGCCTGTTGTGATACCCACTCTGTCTCTGATGAATCCTCTCACCCCCCCACACCTCTGGACTGTACCCCAGTTCTTGTATGCATAATTAAATAAATCTTAAAACAAACAAACAAACAAAAACCCACAAAGCATCATGAGTGTGGGGGAAATGAAACTGTTACATATTTTTCTATAATTCACTTCATAATATAAAAAAAAGTCTTAAAATCTGTTCCTATTGTTTTTGTGGCTCCCTCAGCCCTTCTACACCTTTCTCTAGAACAGAGGCACATACTGATTCTTTTCTCTTGCTTTTCTGTCTGGTATTCCTTTGCATTCATAGGTTCTACTTTCTCAGATACAGGTATTATTTACTTGGTCCTGCTTCTGCAAGTGTCTCCCTTAGCTTCATGATGAAAGTTCAGCAGTTCTCCCAGAAATTCATAAGGGACTTAAGAGATCTGAGAAATTCAACATTTCGTGGAGGTCATATAGAGGAGTTGCTTCATACACTGGGATTCTGTTTCAGAGTGTTTCTTTTTTACAGGGTGGACTTTCTTTCTTTTTCAGACCCTCCTCATCTTTTTCCTGCATTTCATCCTCCTGTGCCAATTGAATCGCGACACCACGAGGGGCGTTACCATTATGATCCATCTCCGATTCCACCGTTGCATGTGTGAGTATTACAACTTTAGCCACTAAGGAAAAATAACAAAATACTGGCTTTTACAGTCTCAGGACTTTTTGTTAACAACACAGCTATTTGGCTTTGAAGATATGACAGATGTTTAAGATTTACTTTCGAAATCCAGTAGGCCTATATGTTATAGACACAATGAAGCAGACCCTGCTGCCTCCTGAAGAATGCCTGTCCCCCTAGGTGTCTGCCAAGTATTTCCTATGTATTTTGCTGACATGTGTTCTGTGGACTCTAACTATTAAGTTAAAAAGTAGAGGCCTAATGGAAGGGAATGTCTCAGAATATGTCTTTGATTGCAATTAAAGTGTGAAGTTTCTCATGCTAAAATTTCTGTTAGGAAAAAGTCTTGTCCCAGGGCTCACAATGGATCATAATGAAATTTTTATGGTAAATTTTCATAGCCCCCCCCCTGGTGTGTACACCAACATTCACTTGATGGATGGGAATGTCACCTAAACAAAATGGCAAATGTGATCGAGCACATGATTTACTCAAAGATAAAAGGAAAAAATGGTGGTGATAACATACATTAGAAAGGGAAGGAGAACATCTCCTGATATGAAGTAGTGTGTTATTCCATTTGGAGGAAAAATGAATAGTGGGCTTGCAAACTTAAAAAGGTGTTCTTACATAGTGTTGTCCAGACAATCATCTCTACCACAATAACTCCAGCTCCTCTCTGGAGGGGCTGTCCTTCACTGACTGTTTGATATATACATTTAGTCATGTCTGGTAATCATCCTTCATTCTAAGACAGTAAAGTTAGAAAAGCACAAATAATACTTTGAAGAATAATGCTGGTTATTTAGATGGTAGATTGCATCTCCATGGCTATTAGTTACAGCTGTGTAATTATATATATGCCAAAGAAAAATGAAGTTGTTTTATAACAAGTCCTCCTCTGTGAACAGAATTAATTGATATTAACAACCCTAACTACATGCCCAAGTACACATATAATATTTTACCAACAGTTTTTTGGATCCATCTCCCATTACTGAATTGTAATTTCAGAGCAGATTTGCCTGGAGGTAAGTAATAAATCTGTGTTGCAGACTTCTATAAGCATTAAAGGAGAAGTGGGTATTTATAGAAAGAGAATACAGAAACTTGTGACTTGCGCTTCAGCTTTGCCCTAGAACATAAGTATTTACAGGATTCTAAAACCTGCTAAAAATACACTCAATAAGACCTTAAGGCCAATTTAAACCCCTCCCCCATATAAAGGGAAGGAAACATCAAATTTAGGCAGAAGCCTGCCATGTAGTTTACCCCATTTTATAGAGGTTTGCAGCACAGATGGAACCCCAGGGTCCTCAGAGGGGCTCTGCCCTGTGGTCTAGAGCCAGCCAGGGCCTTCTCGGCCTTGCGATCTCAGATGGCTGATTCCTTCAAGGTTCCAGTCTCTGCAGTGATATACCAATTTAAATCAGATTTTGTATGGAATCTTCGAATTCTTCACTCTTCATTGTTTCAAAAATCCTGTCATAGAGACATTTCAAAAAATGAATTTATACAATAGACTGAACTAGTTCCTCTGGGTTCATTATAGTTTGCCTTTTAATTAAATTAAAAGACGACTTTATCAATAAAATCCCAAGTCTGTGGCAAAATGCAACAACAGCAAGTGTTCATATAGCCACACCATTCTAGATTCTGATCTCTGTACCCAGAGTAATGGGTCAGTGATACAAGCACCACAAGGTAAGCCTGGCCAAATATGGAGAATCCTGAGAGAGGGGGTTGCATTTCATATAGCTGAGCTGGAAATTCTACAGATTTTAGTGTTTCCTGCTTTTTTTACCCATGCCTTAGGATACCATAGCAATAATTGATTTACTTAATCCTCTACCTGCCTAAACATATAGTTACCAAAGACTCATAATGTAAGGCTGGGTGGTAATCCTGAGCCTGGTCTCCAGGGGTTCTAAAAGGGAATGCCACTGCTCTGGGCACAAAGCCCAGTAAATAGTCAGTGGCTCTAGGGAGGTCCTGGGGAGAGACATCGAGCTTATGAAGTAGACTCCCAGAGCTAGGGCACTGCGCACTTCTCTGCCTTCTAACATGGCATTGTTCCTCGCTCATTGCCCTCAGCCACCTTCCCTCTCTTGAAAGTGAGAGGCAAACTCCTGCTCCAGCCTCTCACTTTCAAGGCCTATTCAAATGTCTCTGTGACTGACTGTCCTAGTAGCACTGTGTGTTTATGGCAAGGGATTGATATTTGAGAAAGGAGAGGGTCCTGAGCTCAGTCCCCCAATGATACAAAATGACAACTGCAGTTAAGTTTTGGGAGTCAAAACTTACATGCAGATTTTCAGCTGCTCAGAAGGGGGGCTCCCCTAGCCACTCCTCCCATCCCCAGTTTTTCAAGGATTAACTGCCCTGTTTTCTTTCCATGGAAATGAAGTGATCTGCAAAAGTTGCCTCTCAAACTGCAGAAAGCTTTCAATGAAATCATGTTCAGTGAAGTCACTTTTAAAAGCACAGCAATCTCTGAACAGATGCTGAGTCAGCACTGGAGGCAGTTGGGGGCATGAAGAATACCTGGTTTCTTTTCTGGCTTGATTCAGTCTTGACTGACTGCCTGGGCTGCTTCTACTTTCTGAGGCGCTGTAAGTAGAAGCCAGTGATTTTGGAGTGGAGGACAAGACAGGTGAATATGGCCTAGTTTCTGAAATCTGAAAAGTATATCTCTTTGCTGAAGGGTAAAGCAGTAACCTGGAAAAGTAAAGTGATTTTATCTAGAACCTGAATTCCAAAGTGCTTGCTATTAAATTGTCCTAGAGAAAATGAGATCAAGTGAACTTACTAGATTTTTAGAATAAATATTTTTAATTATAAGAAGACAAAATTTGGGAACATTCTCATTATTTTGTACACATAATAGTTCTTCTTGTGCCAACTTTTAAAAATTAAATTATAAGTCTCTTGAAAACAGAATTTGTGTTGATGATGGAAATGCCAACAGATCTCTGTTTAGAAGGATGGCAGACGCTGTGATAATTATGCTGACATAGCCTATCATTAAAGATTCTATTGAAAGAGGTTTATAAATTGCTCTTCTTTTTAGATAAACCACCCTATATTAAGGCATCAATGATATGGTGCAGAATTAAATTAAAATCTCATAAAATGAAATATGTTCTGTATTAGCTGTTTGACACTTAATTTGCCTCTGAATGAGTAGAGGAAATCACAAATTAACCTGCCTTTGTTTTTCCAACCATAGCTTATTAGGTGTTAGAACAACTGCAATTACAGCTTGATAATAACCAGCAAGCCTTATAAATATGTACGGAAATATGTCAGTTTGTGTTAAAGAACCCGGTTTGTTAATGGAATGCCTTTAGTTTACCCTACTTGCTCCCACAGCATTATCCACAGATTATGGTTAGGCAGTAGAGAGTGTAGAAACTGAAATAGTTTCAAATACAGTGACAGAAGTAATTCTAGAATTTACTAGTATTTTTTTTTTCCTTAACTCTAAATCACGAGTTCAGATTAAGGACTTGTAGGTGGGACTTGGAATGTAGGTCTCATTTTTCCTTGAGTTGTCACATAAAGATTGTCACAGAAAATGGGCAGTTCCTCCAGTGTGTTTATTTAATTCCATCATTTTGAAAATTAAGAAACACTGGATGTCAAGAATCTCTTTTTCTTCTGAAAGTTGTTCTTCACTGAATTCACTAGAAATTATGCCCAATAGAAAATTGTTTTTTTTTTTTTTAAATCTGAAGTTTGTTTTTTTTTTGAAAATCTCTTCAATCATTTGCTTTGATCTTAAGTTCCCTGTTTCAGTATGTTATTTATTAAGCTTCTTTGTTAAGAAAACAATATAATATTTTAGAAAGCAAACCAGTGACTCAGTGAGTACATTTTATTATATTAATGAGATTATTGGGAGCATTAATGACAGAACTTGAATCTGTCTCCACATAGTGAAACTAATAATTTTGTGTTTATTGTTACTTCACGGCCTTCCCTGTATTTTCTGCCTTGTGTTGTTTACACCAGGGCTGTGGTCTCGTGTCACTCTGGAGGAGCGCTGTTGTATTCTGTGGGAAAGGATGAGGCTCTCTAGGTTAAAGATACTACTGTTTAAAAGATTTCACTTGGAAATGTAGATAATTGGAATATTACATTCCCTTCCCCAAGATCATGGATGTATTTTCATGTGACTACTTTCAATTAATAAAAAAAAAAAATACTTTCTCTTTCAGTTTGAGTATGTACTTTAAAATAAAACATCAGTGCTAGAACTTATTTATGCATGCTTTATTTGCATGCTTGCTTATAAAAACTAGACCTAGTATATTCATAAATGCTCAAATTATAGAGTTTTAACTTCCATGGTCATTCTGGATTTTTCACTTGGGGAAAACATAGCTTTCTTTTATGTTGAACTTTTTTGAGCCAGTTTTCACAGTTGAGGATCAATGGGAATTGAATGTTTGACTTCCACTTGTTTCATACTATGTGCTACAATTCATTTTCTAAAACAGGATCCATAGTTATGAAAACATTACAGTAATTCAGTCCCCAGGGACCTCTGAAGGCTGGCCTGAGAGCTGCCCTGGCTTTTGTGGGGGTGAGCAGGGCCCCACCTTCCACTGCATCCCACAGCCCTCACAGTGCCCTCCCTCTCACTATCCACTTTACAACTTCATTTTTTAAAGCCAGCTTCCTAGTTTCTCTCTGGGATGAAGTGATCACTCATGCATTCTTAAAAGGAGAGCCCTTTTTACTCTTCCTTAATGTGGGTCTTTCCAAACTGACTCATTGGACTTATTGACCAGAAAGTAACAAGAGCTATTCTTTCCACTAAAGTTGGTCCATTTCCTGGTGCCTAAGTTGAGAACTCAGTGCTGGGTGGATCCTCAGGAGCAAAGAAGAAACAGAGCACATTGGAAATCAGTAGGGCTTCACTCCAGTGACTATGGCCATCTTTTAGGGATGAGAACAGGGAGAGAGCTAGC